CGTAAAAACTGTTTTTGGACAGAAATACATACAACACGAAATCTACTCTAGAATTTGATTCTCCGTTCATATTTATATCTGTTCTCTGATCTTCGTGACTGGTTGTTTCTCTAAAAATCAAAACAAAATAGTCCGAGAAAGAATCGCGATGATGGTAATTTCTTCAATGTTTATATTTTTTTATCTCTGTCTGTTCCGACGAAAACTATGTAACTGCCAATCCAACTTTTAAACGGCTGTTACAACATTTAACGACAAAGTATGTTATGATTGCTGCAGGTAAAACAACATATATCATCACTAAATCAAGCATGTATCGCTGACAGAACGGTAGTGTAGTCGAAAACGGTGCATAGCGATCTAAGTCACCGTCTAAATTCACCAAGAATTCAATTTCTTCTACGGCTCGCCTCAAACCACCGGCGTGTTTCATTTCAAGCGACATGATTCTGACCGCTTTTTTGTAGGTGGCGGCGTTCCTCCACATTATTGATAGTTTAGTTGTCACACTGCTAGCTGAAAACTTGTAATCAGTAAAATCAAGCGGATTTATCAGTGATTGTAGCGGAGAAGGCGGAACGAACAACGACAGTCCAACACTCGAACGATCGATTACAATTGCGTTAACAAATTGATCCATGCCGAACGGTATGCATAATACGGGTTTCTGAAAGTAAAGTGCTTCTAAAGATGAACCCATCCCACAATGACTGAAAAATAGCTTCACCGAATTCTGTTGCAAAATCCATTTTTGCTTTACAAATCCATTTTCGACTTTAACGCGTTGATCATCATTCAAAATACGTCGAAATTCGTCATTCTTTATGTCGCTTAGTACAGTTTGATAGGTCTCATAATTCGCACTGCGAAATGCCACCAAGACAGAAGAACCAGGTGTTTGAAGCAGAAACGCGACCAGACCATTGAGCAAATTCTGCATCCGATCGACTTTGATCACGGAGGTACTGCCGAAAGCCGTGTAGATAATGGAATCAATCGGCTTTGAATTGATCCAGTTTGTCAAATCGTCATCAGCATGGTCGATTGATGTTTCATCCACAAATGGGCCGAGGTATTTTGTATAGTGATTTGAATAAGATGGTGTGTAAAAACTTGGCGGTATACTGATAAGTTCGAGACATTTGGGTTTTGAGAACAGAACATTAGTTAGAGCAAAACTTTCGTAAAATGGTCCAGGTACTCGTGGAGCAGACTGAAGCATTTTGTAGAATGATGGCACTAGTATCTTGACTACGCTCATTGTCAGTCGGAAAGTAAAAGCAACATTGTAGAGACGATATTTGATTTCAGTCAATTGTTTCGATGATAATAACGAGTAACTATTCGGTTGATTGAAATCGAAAATATTAAATAGCGATTCTGTACTTTGTATCACGCAGGGCGCGTTTACTACCTTGCATAAAATGCGAACACTGCCCAGAAGTGAATTAGCGATGATGACATCAAATCGCTCGAGCATTAAAATATGGACTGTTTTGTTCAATAACGAAGTGGCACTGTCGCCCAACAATGTCGTTGCATAAGATAAACCATCCAACAGAGAATGGTTGGCAGAATACGCAGTGACTTGTTGCTCGATTTTCTTTTGCACGATGAACGCATCTGGTGAATCATTTGCATAAACGACACGAAATGAGAGCGAATTCGAATATGATTTAAAATCAACATAAGATTGAGCGAGTTGTTCGGTAAGAAATGTAACATTGTGATTTTTCATTGCTTTTGCCAACTCAAACATTGGAGTCACATGACCGGCCGCACCGATACTGATCAGTAACGCATTGAAACAGAACGCATGAGGAATCAATGATAGTGCCCAAAGAAATATCAGACACTTGGATCTCATGATACGAGAGATAAGTACGATGTCGTCGAAACGGAATAATGTGACCTTCTATTTTTACCTCCCTTTCTCTTTCACGTTCTTGAAGATGACGATGAAAATGAGGGTGGTATGATATGTACGCTGACAGAACGGAACAAGGGCAAAAACGCCAATCATTGCCAAACTGTATTTTGTGCGGCGACATCTTAAATATTCGAAAGGGCAATCTCGATAGGCGCTCTTATATTATGCAAAAAGGATCTCTCTTCCACACTGTACTCTTAGTTTTGCATTTAAATTTGTCATTACTCGCCACATTCGCGTCAATAGAGAAGATTGTCATAGAGCTGAACAGTGTAATGGCGATTCTCTGAGGCTATTGATCTAGTTCTTGCTGTTCTTTACTGAAAAGAGCCGTTTTTTGCTGGTATAAATGAAATCAACTTTGACTGAAATTGTTGATCGTCAAACGCTACTCAGGCTATTATATAATTGAACTTCAATTCAATACTGATTGTCTGCTATAAAGACACGCACTCGTTTACTGTTTCCAAGAAAACATCAAACGGTTCAAAACAATTACTACAACACTAGGAGGAAAGAATATGAAAACATACATAAAAAAATATAAATCTGCTATCAGTGCAAAAAGAAAGTTCATTTCTTCGATATGTTGTACCTTCTCTCCGTAAAGAGAAAAAGAAAGACTCTGCGCTAAGAAATGCGACCTCACCCTTACAGAAAACTGTTGATGCATCGTTTCTCGATGTTGCGATTTGAGGAGGCTTCGATAGTTTTGACAATGAAGTTGTGAATGGACTTAATAATTGCTCATTAGAGCTGTTATAAAAACGAAAGAAGATAATTTATTACTACGCCAAATTTTTGGTAATTGCCGAAGAAGCCAAACGCATTCGTCGCGTTTTCACATGTGTCTAGGTTTCAGCGTAAATATTTGACAGCGGGAAATGAAAGAAACCTAGACACCTAAAGACGTGTGAAACATTTTCCTGTGGGAAAATTTTTAGAAATATTTTCGAATCGGAAAATGAAAGAAACCTAAAAGACTGTGAGAAATTTTGCATGTTGAAAATTTTCAGGAAAAATTTTCGTTTTCGTTTTTCCGGGAAAAGGAAATTCTTCATTCTATGCAGGAATTCTTTAGGTCGCAAACAAGAATCGTAAAAGAAAACTGTCAAGTATAGGAGCACTCTTAAATTTTTGCAGATACTGTATTTTTGTGAAAACTGTAACTTAGATGTTACTCTTTTAGTTTTGCTAGTTGCTAGTTGAACAGTGTGTGTATTCTTATACCTATAAAGCTGTACATAACGTAGTTTTTTTCTTAATTTGTCAATTTTATTTCGTTTCGTACATACAAGAAGAGTTAGATACATGTTAACAAAAGCACAAGTACAACCAACATCTTTCTACAATCTTGTTGAAAATAGAAATTTTCTTTATATTCTGATGAAGATCTTTAACTTATAAAGACATTTATTCTTTTCTTCATATATAGCATTAAAGCTTATAAAACAAAATAAGTGATTCCAT